GTGAAAGCTCTTCCTAAGTGTTTTGTATTTTTGATACCATCATATTCATGTTTTTAATTCAAATTTTCAATTGCTTATTGCTAGTACATAGAAATACAACTGATTTTATATATTGATGTTCTATTCTGTGCCCTTTATGAACTCACTTATTAGTTCTAGTGACAATTTTTTGTAAACTCCATAAATTGTTTCATTGTTAATCTTGCTTTTTGCAAATGAAGATAATTTTATTTATGTGATCCTTGCCTTATCACTTTGACTAGACCCTCCAGTATAATTTTAATGGTGTAATACACAGTAAGAATGACAATTCTTGTATTCTTTCTGCTTTGAAGGAAAAGCATTCACTCTTTAACCATTAAATATGATGTTAGCTTTAGGCTTTTGTAAAAGTTCTTTATCAGATTGAGGATTTTCCTTTTATTTCTCAGTTGCTGATAGTTTGAATTATGAGAGGATATGGTCGGTAACTGTGTCCAGTATCAAGCAAAGATGACTTTTCCTTCCTAGGCACCCAATAGTTAGCTGACGGACAACATTCTTCATCTTCAGATCAAAAAAAAAAAATTCTTTTTTCCCACTCTACTTTATAGCTTCTTTCAGCTCTAGCTCAACCTTTGCTTTGTGAAGGTTGATCAACATCTGCATTTTTGTCTGTAACCAAAATTAAATTTAATTTTGTGTTATCTGTAAATCAAATACTCAATGTTGCAAACCAACAACATAAACTTACATTATCTTGAATGGATGTTGATTTTTTTCAAATGCTTTTTGGAATTTATATATATATATATATATATATATATAGATAGATAGATAGATAGATAGATAGATAAATACACACACACATATATATGTATACACACACACACATACACACACACACATATACACATTATTCTTCTTTCTTTACATTCTTTCATCTCATGTGCTCTTCCCATCCCTGTTGGAAGCTTGCTAAAAACTTTTGAGTGTAAAAGGCACAGTTCAGCTACTCAGAAGCATAAGATCACTAGGGGGAATTGAGAGTATGGGGATGCCTATTTCACATCAAGGGTATTATTAGACTTGCCTAAATGAGATCATGTAATTTTCAGAACATTCTTATGAAGTAAGTATCACATTTCAAATAAGATAGAACTAGTAGAATGATATAAAAGGTATCACATGGTTGAGATTAGGAAAGACATTTTATGTTTCATTACTAAATAGAAATAAAAAAGTGTAATGTTAAGTTCAAAAATCAGGAAAAAAAAACCCAAAGCAGCTGGTTTTAATATGAAGCAAAATGGAGTGAAAAAGAAAGGAACTAGTTGATCTGAAGGCGAGGAATGTTGTCCCTCGGCTGACTATTGGGTGCCTAAGAAGGAAAAGTCATCTTTGCTCGATTCTGGACTCAGTTATCACCATATCCTCTCAGTCAAGATAATGAAAGTTTATGTTGTTGGTTTGCAACCCTGAGTATTTGATTTACAGACAACATAAAGAAATTTAATTTTGGTTACAGATAAAAATGCAGACGTTGGTCAACCTTGACAAAGCAAAGGTTGAGCTAGAGCTGAAGGAAGCTACAAAGTATGAGAGAAATGAGGCACTTTTGAGGAGAGGCCTATTCATTCTTACTTTACAAAAAAAGCAACATTTAAAAAACGAAGCCTCATAAGCCTCATGTCCTTGCCTACAAAATGAGGCACAAAGTCTTACTCAATGGATTGTTGTGAGGGTTAAGGGATGTGTCTAAAATGACTAATATGTGCTGGGCACTCAACTAACTGAAACAGTGAAGGAGAGGAGAAAAGGACAGCAGGCCTATGAATTCCTCCACTATGAAGGAATAATCTGCATGCTACGTTGTCTAAAGCACCTCTCCTGTAGACACTATCGCTGCCCAGAGGGCAAGGTGGGAGTCTGAGTGATGAAAAGATGGGGGCTATTGATCTCACGTGTGGCCTTGGAATGTCATGACATGATATGATCATGTTGTGGGTAGTGCCATTGTCCTCCATTTATAGTTTAAGTGGTTCAGAGTGTGAGTGGCCATGTGAGTTGTAGGACCAGCCCTGAAGTGGCCTGAAAATCAGCAACTGTGACTGTAGATTCCATTGTCGGCCGAGTGGCACATGAATCTGAAACACTGGGTTGCACTCCTGGCACTTCCTCTGTACACATTTGTAATGAATAGGCCCCTAGGTTTAATTAAAGGGAAAAAAAGATGAATTGTTTCTCCCAACAGCTGCAAATTATTTACATTGCATTTGTGTTGATGGCTAATAAAAGAGCAAAGGGGTGTGGGGACAGCCCAGGGTAGCTGTAATTCTTCCAAGGTCTATAATGAAGTATCGGTTTGAATGCTAACATGTGAGGGTGGCTGAGCCTGTTGCCCATTCAGAATTCAGACCTGCTATAGGCAGAGATGTTCTCTGCTCTTGGCACAATTCAATCAGTAGAAATGGATCACAAGGGCCAAGACCTGAGAATAGCAAGGCATATGTCCTGGTTCCTGCAAACTGCCTCTCAGTTGTTCATAGTTGCTGTTAAGTGGGTAAGAAGGAACAAAGTGATGACCCAGGCTAGGGCTGCATCACTCCTGGAATGACTCTTAAATTTCTTCTGAAAGTGTGATGGGTTGAAAGAAGATAGGAGTTAACACAACAGAGCTCTTCTCAGTTCTTAAAGCTTGTGCTTTGTCCTGGCTACTGAAAAGTTGTGAAATACAGTGTGCATGTATTTATCATATATATTATAATGTATGTCACATACATTATATGTGCATTACATGTGTATTATAATATGATCAGTCTGTATATTTTTGGATGTCAAGAAATACAAAAGTTATTTTCCCCCAATTGTTAGTTATTAACCCTATGACTATCTTGCAGACATCACATCTTGTGAAAGTAGATTGATCACCTTCATAATGATCACACTTACTCTCAGGTTGCTGTGGGAGCATTTTATATATATATATATATATATATGATGACATCTTTGAAACCAGTACCAGTATGAGAGGATTGGCTCCAGGACATCTGTGATTATTTTAGGGCTCCCTTTAACCAATTTTGTTTCTAAAGCAACTCTTCTGCATCCAGACTTCCACAGGGTATGTGCAGAAATAAAAGGACAAACCAGGGAACTGAAGTTGAGTCAGTCAGATCAAAATTTTAGAAAAATCTCTCTTTATGTCAAAGTGGAGAATGGATTGGTATGTGACAATACTTACTGAATGGTTAGACAGGTGGCTCCTGCAGCTATTCCAACAGAGACAGCTGGGCCAGAACCCAATCAAGGTGATAGAATTGGCAGTAATGGAATATTCAATAGAGAAGATTCTCACATAGGAATATTGTGCCAAACTTAGCACAAGTCTTACTTCAATTCTCTACCTTCCATTAATGCCTAGTGACTGCAAGGGCCTGCTATTCATTTGCTGGATTTTTAAAAAATTTATTTACTTATTCATACAGAATTGGGGTACAGGGGCAGTAAGAGGACTCACCAGAGAGAGAATGGGGAGCAGAACAGGCAGATTGGTGAAGTACATTGCTGAGGGGAGCAGCAGGCAAAACAGGAGAAATCTGCTGAGCCATGTGGGTCACCTCCTGGCTGGGGATCGAACTTTAGCTGAAGTGGCTTAGGCTAACTTTGTAGTGCTATGCTTTAACCAGTTGCACCACCAGGGATCTGTTTTTGTAAAGTAGGACCCACTGGATGGCTGAGAACAACAGCAATATATTGTTATACAGTTTGACAGGCAAGAAGACCAATAGGCAGCAATCACTTTTGTTCTGAAGTTCTCTCTCCTAGCTTTTGGTACTTTCTTGGTTTATGGCAGCACAACTCTAATCTTCAGATGGTGTTATCCCTCTAGGCACATCTGTGCCAAATGTTCCCCTTTGATAGGGACATTAGTCAGTTTGGGTTAGGGCCCACCTAACAACCTCATTTTGATTTGATTACCTTTATAAAGACCCTATTTCCAAGTAGGATCACATCTGAGGTCCTGCTCCTATCTGAGGTACTATCTTTTATCAGAGAACTGGTAACACATATTTGATATGCATTTTATGTGTTTTGATTATTTATAGATAAATTATTCTATTGGTAAAATTACTGAATGGCAACTTGCTAGTTATTTTAGACCATTTAGATAGACAGTCTTTAAATAATGAGGAAATATTCAAATGTTAGTTGTATCTTTACATCAATGTTGTATATGCTATATATGTATATGTGTAAATACAGTAACAACCCCTAATGATGGGTCAGATTAAATCAAGGCCAGAAATCCAGGTAGCTTGTTGATACATAACCTGGTAGCTTGTTGATACATAAGGTACTTTAAATCTAAAATAGCTATTAATAGATAATAACAGTTGAGAAATAAATCCTCTGATCAGTTTTTTTTTTTTTTAAGATTTATTTGTGCATACAGAACTGGGGTATAAGCCAGAGATGTAGGGCGGTGAGAAGACTCACCAGAGACAGAGATGGTCAAGTACACTGCTGAGGGGAGCAACGGGCTGGTCAGGAAAGGTCTGCCGTGCCATGTGGGTCACCTCCGGGGCAGGCAAAGATCAAACTCATGTGAAAGTAGCTTTTAGCTTCTCAGTGCTGTGCTTTAGCCCTCTGCGCCACCAGGAATGGCCCTCTGATCAGTTTTTAATATTACCTGTTGACACTGGACTAGCCGAAATGGAAATAATGGGAAATTTTATCAAGATGAATAAAATCCATGATCTGAGAGCCAAAAACTGTTCAAGTCTGGGTGTTGCCTTCACATTCTGTGAGCCTGAGAGAAATGTTGGACCTCTCTCTCTGCACATTTTGAAGGTACCTTGAGTGTAAAATGGCACGGACATGCCCTAAGTCCCCATGCGGTTAAAGGGACAAGAGCCTTTGATTGGGTAAATGTGACATATTGATATTACTGTAGACAAGTTATTCAAATGATGACCCTCAGGGCTAACCTCGTATTTATTCTTTCCATTGCTTTCTAGTCAATAAGCACAAGCCCTGGATCGAGACTTCGTATCATGGAGTCATAACGGAGAACAACGACACCGTCATTTTGGACCCCCCACTGGTCGCCTTGGATAAGGACGCACCGGTTCCTTTTGCAGGTAAGATGATGGTTTAGCATGACTGGGTTTGACTCACTTTGGAGACATGTTGAGAAACCAGCCTGTGATTTCAAAGCTCTATGACTCTTGTGATGTCTGGTCTGGATTCTGTATGTCTTTATGGCTTTTATCTTTGGTGTCATCTCCAGTGCAAGACGCTGGCTGCTGTTTCTTTGGTTAGATGGTGTGTTGCTGAAGTGGCCTTAGAACTAGAAAAGATGGACCAGTAAGGTCTTGAGGAGATTTTCTAGAGGAGACTTTCCTCTAGAAAGGTAAACAGAAGTAAGAGAAAGTGGGTGAGTCATTGTCATTGGATTCACTATTCAATATTGTGGGTAGGTGAAGACTCTTAGAGTTTGGTGAACTGACAAGAGAAAATGGAATAAAGAGCTAGGAAATACTTGCTAAGGGCAAGTATGGAAGTGTCCTGCCTTTGAACTTCAAAGTGGTTGTGGTTACTGGAGGGATCTGAAGGCACTCCTATATTTCTCTCTGGAGCTTGTAGTTATAGAACCTATTCTCTGTCAAGACTACCCCTCCCTCCTTCTCTAACCTTCTGCAAAGTCCAGATCCCAGGAGGGGTGTGTAAAAAACATATCTCATGATTCCATCGATTTTGGCAAAGGGAAGAGGATGGGTGATTTCACAGGGAGAAGGGACTGAACAAAGAATTTCCAAAGATGTCTGCATCATGAGTAATATTGTTAACATTTTATACCTGTCAGAAGGAAGACAGGAAATTTAATGAAGGTTTTCAAGATTTCTAGAAGATTGTTTTATGATAGATGGGTGCCAAACTGAGGTTTTCACCAAAATGAAGTCTGTTTTTCCTGACAGTTTGTCTGCTACATTATGAGCTATTTGGGAAAGGAAAAATGGGCTCTCACATTTCTAAGAGATAAGTCCCAGGAAGCCTCCCCTCCCCGCCCCCACTTTTTTTCATTACAGAACATTAAAAAATAAGGCGTGATGAAGGAGGTTAAATGGGGATACTCAGCTTTATGGAATATAAACTATAAAGATTCTTGCAGAGCATGGAGGACTCTTGACTCTCAAAAGGCGTTATCTATCTTTATTTTATGTCAAATGATGACCACCAAGGGTACTCAGCTGTGACTAACGTGGTATTTAGAGTTGGGACATTTCTATATGTCTTCCTGCTGTTCTTTGTGGTTTCAGCTCAACCAACTTGAAAAGCAAATCCCATGCTCTCTTTTCCATAAAAAATGAGGTGTCTTTTTCCAAATCTTCTTACCAACCTGGGAACTTCCCAACTCCTCTTCTTCTTGAAAATAACTGAATGGGACTGGAAATGATCAGTAATTCTTAACAACCCCCTGGAAATGAGTTTATTTTATTAATTTTTGAAAGATTTTTTTTTTTATTTATACAGAACTGGGGTACAGGCCAGAGAGGTGCAGGGGCAGTGAGAGGCTTCACCAGAGACAGAGTGGGAAGCAGAACAGGCAGACTGATAAAGAACATGGCTGAGGGGAGCAGCGGGTGAGACAGGAGAGGTCTGCCGCACCACGTGGATCACCTCCAGGACGCTCCATGTGGATTACTGGCTGCGCTGGCTTGCAGTGCTGCGTCCTAACCCGTTGTGCCAACAGGGAGGCCTCTGGAAATGAGATTTTTTTTTAATTTTATTTATTTTATTTTATTTTAATTTTTTTTTAAAGATTTATTTATTTACTTATGCATACAGAACTGGGGTACAGGCCAGAAGTGCAGGGCGGTGAGAGGATTCACCAGAGATAGAATGGGGAGCAGAACAGGCTGATCGACGAAGTACACTGCTGAGGGGAGCAGCGGGCGGGTCAGGAGAGGTCTGCCGTGCCATGTGGTCACCTCCGGGGCAGGCGGAGATCGAACTCATGCAGAAGTGGCTTTAGCTTCTTAGTGTAGTGCTTTAACCCGCTGCACCACCAGGGAGGGCCTGGAAATGAGATTTTAAAACAAAAACACTGACAAAATGTTTGGGTGCTAGAAATGTTAGGCTGGAAATGTACTGTGTGCCATACAATTCAAGACATCTGTTAGAAATGGGGATTTAGCACAAATAGGCAAGGTGCTGGTTTGTTTGGGGGCTGGGTTGAAATAGAATTGAGCACTGGCTGCCCTTCTTAGACTGAGCACATACATGGCTTCCCCAGCCCTTCTGTGAGAGCCTGCGAGGAGCTGCCTTCCTCAGTGGGTCCTTTTGTTCTGCTTTCCAGTCCAGTGGTTGGCCCCTCTATAAATCATGGCAAAGCATAACCAGTCGTTTATTAAAAGGGACAAAATGCAGTTGAGTCTTTTTAGTTAAGTGTGTCTAATATGTTAGAAGATAAGGCATGTGCTCACTGTCTGCCTCTACTGCAGCTCTATTGTCAGCGAGTAGTGAACAAGGAAATCGAAATTGTTGAGTAAGCTGTTCTATGATAAAGTTATAAGCTTTCTAAAGTACACACCAAACTGGAAGAAAAAATCCATTTCAAGCAAATCTGACATTTGTTAAATTTGGATTTACAAAAAATTACTTAACTTCCTTGGTTGTAGGGTTGAAAGACAATTGGTAATTTCCCCTAAAGATACACCAAGGATTTCCTGAAACAATAAATTCATCAAAGGTCTTTAATCTTGAATTTGTATTCTGAGCATTAGATGTGCCCTCAAGGCTTCAGGCACATCTTGAAACTAAGGTTTGCTTTTAAGTCAAGTCCTGAGTAGTTATTTCCTCCTGAAGATGATTTCCATACTCCTACTGATATTTGCAGCTGTATTTAAAAAAAAAAAAAACTGGCTTAATGCATCAAAATATAATCTTCCAAGCTCTTAAGAATAAAAAATAAAGGTGCTTTTTAAAATGGTCAAAGCTATTTTTCTCAGTGTTATTTACGATCGGCTCTAAGAGAGGACAGAGGCACTTGCCATCCATCCATGCTGCAGGCATTTAGTTTAAAACATTTATCTTAAAAAGAAAAATACTGAAGATTTATTTCAGATTCCTATCATTCTCATAAAATTGAAAAATTCATATCTGCCAGCTCCATCACTTCTTGAAGTCACCCGAAGCTTTTAGTCCCCTCTTATCAACTGTTCTTGTATTGTGTGTCAGTTTCTCCACCCAATCCCCAGTGGACTATTTCCAGTGTAGCCTGTGGGGTGAGTTATATGCTTATTGGAAGACAGTCCCCTCTGTCTCATTTATCATTTTTTGCTCTGTCTTGTTTCTCTTATGATTTCCTCCCTTTAAAAAACATTTAAGAAAATGTGCAACATAAAAAAATCATTCACTTAAATAAAAATTCTGATTATATTTTATATAGAGATGCAAAATCCAGGAATATAAATAGCTTTTACTGTGTCTCTGACTATGACAACATTTGTTTATTGTAAAAAATGTGGAAAGTATGATAACATGCAAAAGATGTGTGAAATATATGTGTTCTCATCACCAGAGAGATTCTGTTAACATTTTAATGTATTTCCTTCTAGTCACTTCTTGATTCTTTTCAAAATTTGTGATCTTACCTCATATTCACTATTACAACTTTTTTTCACTTAACAAATAAAACATCATTTTATTAAATAGGCTTCTGCAACTAATTAAATAGCTACATGACTTCAATTTACCAGTTTTTCTAGCTTTGTTGAGATATAATGGGGATCTTGTATTTTATCTTGTGAATCTATGACATCTTGTCAATTTACAATATCTTATAATGATTTGATAAGTTTGTATTTGGGAATTGATCACCACCATAGCTTTATCTGACACTGCCATAACCTCACACAATTACTGTTTACATTTTGTGATGAAAGCAATTAAGATTCACTGATTTAGCAACTTTTAATTGTATAATATAGACTTACTAACTGTATTAACAGTATTATACACTAGTCCTCAAATTTAAATCCTCTTATAACTAGAAGTTTGTATGTACCTATTAACCAACATCTTCCCAATTTCCTAACCCGGCAGCCCTGGTATGAGGTCAACTTTCTTAGGTCTATTTGTAAATGAGATCACACAGTGTTGTCTTTGCCTTATTTCCCTGAGGAGAATGCTCTCAAATTCTATCCACATTGTCACAAAGGACAGGATGCCCTTCTCTATTTTGGATGAATAATATTCCAATATGGGTGTGTGGGTGTTCATGTATGTGTGTACGATGACTCCTTTATCCATAAGAACACAAGGGTGCCAAAGTCCCTTTGAGACCATTCCAGATCTCAAATACCCTGAAGTTGAATTACTAGTACCTATGCAAGTTCTATTTTTAAATTTTTGAAATATCAATACTGCTTTCCATAGCGGCAGCATCAGTTTACATTCCCTTTGCTCCACATTCTCCCCCAATGAGTGTTATCTTGCTTTCTTTTTTCACACTAGCCATTCTCAGATGTGAGATGATAGACAATTTGTCTACTTCAATTCTTTTTTGTTTGTTTATTATTAAATATATCTATATATTTCTGACTTTATCATTTTGGTGTATTTTCAGTATTGAAATGAATTGGTCCAATATTTTAAAGTTCCTGAAACATGTTAAATTGCTTTCCACAAAAAGTTATATTTGAAGTCACATCTACACCCCTACAAGTCTCTTATTTCTTGGCTCATTCAAGTTTTCTAGGGTTGTTGTTTTAATTAACTATAAAGAATGTGATGGATGTTGTAATGCTTCAAGTTATAGTAGAGGTTTAATTAGTTTGCTTTTCCCAGTCTTTCTCTCTGCTCATTTTATAGAGGAGATAACTAATTCAGAGAATGGCCAAGTAATTTGCCCCCTATCCTAGAGTGAGCTAGTCATGTTTTGCAGCTGGTGTGATAGTGGAGTCGAGGACTGCTTCCCTATGCTACAGCCTTTTGGTCCCTGCTCCTCTGATGAGTAGAGGTGCCGACTTTCAGTCAATGAACCTCCCTCAGAGCTCAAGTCAGTCTGTTAGACCTGACTCATTTCCTACTCCATGCCTGAGCCTTGTAGGCATGACCTTCTTAGAGAATCAGACAC